ATTATTATTATTATTATTATTATTATTATTATTTAGCAAGGGATCTTCCACGCCATTCTCGGGCTGGTTCGCAACCCAACTTTGCTGGCACCCGAGAACAATATTTGTGATGCTGCTGCTGGCAGGCTGTCATCAAATCAGTAGCAACCATCAGTCCGCCTTTAAAATGGTTTGTCATTCCAGCCTCCCAAAAGCTCTCAGGCCACCAAGCTGAAGAAAGATGCTGGCCAGGAGCCCGGAGGAGGCCTTGTTCCCTAGGCGCTGCTTTCTGGAGCTGGGCACGGCTGCTCCAGGCACTTGGAAAAGGGTTTAAATTACAGGGGTCCTCAACCTTGGCCACTTTAAGACTTGTGGACTTCAACTCCCAGAATTCCTCAGCCAGCTTTGGCTGAATTCCTCAGCCAGAATTCCTCAGCCAGCCAGGAATTCTGGGAGTTGAAGTCCACAAGTCTTAAAATGGCCAAGGTTGAGGACCCCTGGTTTAAAAGGTCCCCTGGACGGCTGCTTGTCTGAGTGGCCGGTGGGGTACAGAACATTTTTGAAGTGACAATTAGCCTCCGGGAAAGCCAGGAGGGTGATCGTTTATTTATTTAGCGTGTGGTGAGAACCTGACAGAAGGAAAGTGAACGTACGCGCACAATCCAAGTAATTACATCCAAAACCTAAGTGGAGATTATGGCCTCATATCTGGAGGTCCAGTTCAGCTATCCAGGCCCTTGGTGTTACTTGGTGCAGGTTTCCAGGGAAGCAGAAAACGCCCGTTGTGTGCAGTCTTGCACAATATGTTTAATAGTTTATCAGCACCACAATCGCAACAAGGGGAGCCTTTCCATGCCCACTGATACGGGGCAGAGGCCTGTCTTCCAGGGAAACGCCTAATTCTGTTCAGTTTTGCCCAGACAGAGAGAGGGGGGCCGGTCAAAAGCAGCTGCCAAGTGACGGTGACCTCATTGGCTTAAAAGTTGGAAGCAGGTCCCTGCAGAACAGCGTGGGGTTGGCTGTTTCTGCCTGAGATTCTGAACAATCTTCTCTTCTCTTCTCTTCTCTTCTCTTCTCTTCTCTTCTCTTCTCTTCTCTTCTCTTCTCTCCTCTCCTCTCCTCTCCTCCCCTCTCCTCTCCTCTCCTCTCCTCTCCTCTGTCCCCGTCTCTCTCCTCTGCCCCATCCATCTATCCATCCATCCATCCACCCATCCATTTCTTCTCTCCTCTCCTCTCCTCTCCTCTCCTCTGTCCCCATGTCTCTCCTCTGCCCCATCCATCTATCCACCTATCCATCCATTTCTCTTCTCCTCTCTTCTCCTCTCCTCTCCTCTGTCCCTGTCTCTCTCCTCTGCTCCATCCATCTATCCATCCATCCATCCATCCACCCATCCATTTCTTCTCTCTCCTCTCCTCTCCTCTGTCCCCGTCTCTCTCCTCTGCCCCATCCATCCATCCATCCATCCATCCATCTATCCATCCATCCATCCATCCATCCATCCATCCATTCATTTCTCCTCTCCTCTCCTCTCCTCTCCTCTCCTCTGTCCCCCTGTCTCTCTCCTCTGCCCCATCCATCCATCTATCCATCCATCCATCCATCCATCCATCCATCCACCCATCCATTTCTTCTCTCCTCTCCTCTCCTCTCCTCTGTTCCCCTGTCTCTCTCCTCTGCCCCATCCATCTATCCATCCATCCATCCATCCATCTATCCATCCATCCATCCATTCATTTCTCCTCTCCTCTCCTCTCCTCTCCTCTCCTCTGTCCCCGTCTCTCTCCTCTGCCCCATCCATCCATCCATCCATCCATCCATCCATCCATCCATCCATTTCTCCTCTCCTCTCCATCTCTCCCCCCCTCCTGCCCCCCTCCCCGTCTCCCCCACAGACAGCCATGCCCCTGCTCTTCACCCTCTTTGAGCTGGCCCGCAACCCCCAGGTCCAGACGGCCATTCGGGAGGAGATCAGGGGAGCCCAGGCCCAGGGCTCCAAGGAGCTCTCCAAGGTGCTGAACGCCATGCCGCTGCTCAAGGGGGCCATTAAGGAGACGCTGAGGTAAGGGGGAGGCCTGGGGAGGGGGGGCTGGGTTCACAGGGTCTCCAGCTGAATGCCTCTCCTGTGGGGACCAGCCGGGGACTGCCGAAGCTCAGGTGCAATTATTACACTGAGAGGCAGTTTGGTGTAGTGGTTAAGGGGGTGGCCTAGAGACCAGGAGGCTGTGAATTCTAGTCCTGCCATGGCCACAAAAGCCAACTTGGCTGTTGTTGTGGGGACCATAGGAAAAGGAAGGAGTATTATGTATGTTCACCACCTTGAATTACTACTGTATAAAGTAGGGGGTCTTCCAACTTGGTCCTTTGATGACTTGTGGACTTCAACTCCCAGAATTCCTCAGCCAGGCACGCGTGCCTGGCTGAGGAATTCTGGGAGTTGAAGTCCACAAGTCATCAAAGGGCCAAGTTGGAAGACCCCTGGTATAAAGTAACAAAGGCAGGATAAAAATCTAATAAACAAGAGTGAAAAATGAACAGCCTGAACGTATGAAGCACGTCGGCTGCTTTCAAATCAGCCTTAGCTCTTGGCAACTACATGGACAATGTTCCTGGCAACGTTTTTTCTGAAGTGGATTACCAACCTCTTCCTTCTAGAGCTGAGGGGGGTGGGAAACTGGCCCAAGGTCACCCAGGCAGAACTAGAATTCACAATCTCCTGGTTTCTAGCCCTCTGCCTTTAATCACCAGGGGTAGGCAACCTTGGCTCTTTTATGACCGGTGGACTTCAACTCCCAGAATTCCTGAGCCAGCATGGCTCAGCTTGGAATCCTCTCCCTTTCCCCTCAGCGTGGCTGGCTCAGGAATTCTGGGAGTTGAAGTCCACCAGTCATAAAAGAGCCAAGGTTGCCTACCCCTGTACTAGGCCTAGGCCCCTTCATGACTCGTGGACTTCAACTCCCAGAATTCCTGAGCCAGCATGGCTCAGCTTGGAATCCTCTCCCTTTCCCCTCAGCGTGGCTGGCTCAGGAATTCTGGGAGTTGAAGTCCACCAGTCATAAAAGAGCCAAGGTTGCCTACCCCTGGACTAGGCAAACAATATCAGTGATCAAAGCTTTGAAACTATCAGGGAAGCAGTAACTGGATGTGTAAATAAAAATGGAGAGCTGGGGAGAAGCAACGGCCCCTCTTTTTTCTCCCCCCCTTCTGTTGCAGGCTCTACCCGGTGGGCATCACCATCCAGCGCTACCCTCTGAGAGATGTGGTGCTCCAGAATTACTGCGTGCCAGCTGGGGTAAGTGCCCGGCAGCCCAAGGGCCGTCCCCTCGCCAGCTCCACAATCCCAGGGGAGGTGCGGTGTGTGTGTGTGTGGGGGGCTGAGATCGGCCTGGCTTGACCTGACGGATTCCTGCCACTCCGGAGAGCCTCTAGCTCAGTGGGGCAAACTGGAGCGCAGGGTCCGCCTGGCAAAGGTCCGAGATTCAAACTCTTATAAAAACCAATTCTGGGCAGCAGGAGACCCCTGTCTCGCCTTCCCCCCCACGTCCCCCACCTCTTGGGTCTCGGGGGCCTCTTCACATGCAATGCTTTGTTGTGAGGCTGGATTGACTTCTGGCTGCCATTCCTTGCCTCTCTTCGGGTTACCATCAGGGACCACAGGCAGTCCTCGACTTACGACTGTCCATTTAGTGACTGTTTGAAGTTACAACGGCACTGAAAAAGGACAATCTTTCACACTTATGACCATTGCAGCGTCTCCCCTCCCCCATGGTCACGTGATCAAAATTCAGACGCTTGGCAACTGGTTCATATTTATGACGGTCGCAGCGTCCTAGGATGCTGTTGTCATCTCCTGACAAGCAAAGTCAGTGGGGAAGAAGCCAGATTCGCTTAACGACCGTGTGACTAACTGCAGTGATCCACTTAAGGACTGTGGCAAGAAAGGTCGTTAAATGGGGCAGAACTCGCTCAAAAGCTGCCTCACTTAGCGACGGGAAGTTTGGGCTCGGTCATAAGTCGAGGACTGCCTGTAATGGGGGTGAAGACCGTCTCCCGGAGCCGCTTGGGGGCTTTGGAGCAGGGCGGGTCGGGCTGCCGCCTGAAAGACCCAGGAGCCACGAGGCAGAAGGGCCTGCCCTGCCTTCTCCAGGGTGCAGGAGGGCGACCGGCGGCCTCCTCAGCGGCGTCTCCCTCTCCTCCCCCAGACTCTGTGCCAGGTGGGGCTCTACTCCATGGGCCGGAGCCCGGCGGTGTTTGCGGACCCCGAGCAGTACAAGCCCACCCGCTGGCTGAGTAAAGAGGACCACAGCTTCAAGGCCCTGGCCTTCGGCTTCGGCTCGCGCCAGTGCATCGGCCGGAGGCTGGCGGAGGCCGAAATGGCGCTCTTCCTCATGCACGTGAGTCCGGCGGGCAGGGGTGGCCCCAAGGGGCGGGCAGGGTGGCCCCGACAGCTGACTCCTCTGCCTAGGTCAGGGGTCTTCAAACATGGCCCTTTTATGACTTGGGGACTTCAACTCCCAGAATTCCTCAGCCAGCGTGAGGGAACTATGACCCTTTTATGACTTGGGGACTTCAACTCCCAGAATTCCTCAGCCAGCGTGAGGGAACTATGACCCTTTTATGACTTGGGGACTTCAACTCCCAGAATTCCTCAGCCAGCGTGAGGGAACTATGACCCTTTTATGACTTGTGGACTTCAACTCCCAGAATTCCTCAGCCAGAGTGAGGGAACTATGACTCTTTTATGACTTGTGGACTTCAACTCCCAGAATTCCTCAGCCAGAGTGAGGGAACTATGACCCTTTTATGACTTGTGGACTTCAACTCCCAGAATTCCTCAGCCAGCGTGAGGGAACTATGACCCTTTTAGGACTTGTGGACTTCAACTCCCAGAATTCCTCAGCCAGAGTGAGGGAAGTATGACCTTTTTGTGACTTGGGGACTTCAACTCCCAGAATTCCTCAGCCAGAGTGAGGGAACTATGACCCTTTTAGGACTTGTGGACTTCAACTCCCAGAATTCCTCAGCCAGGCACATGTGCCTGGCTGAGGAATTCTGGGAGTTGAAGTCCACAAGTCCTAAAAGGACAATGTTTGAAGACCCCTGGCTTAGGTAGTCCTCAATTTACGACTGTTCCTTTAGTGACCATTTGACGTTAGAACGGCGTTGAAAGAAGTGGCTTGTGACTCTTTTTCACTCTTTCCAGCGTTCCCCCTGGTCACATAGACAAAATTTGGACGCTGGGCAACTGTCTCCTATTTATGACGGTTGCAGCGTCCCAGAGGGGTGTATGTCACGTGATCCCCTTTTGCGACCTGACAAGCCAAGTCAAGGGGGAAGCCGGATTCACTTAACAACTGCATGACCAGCTTCACAACTGCAGTGATTCATTTAACAACCGGGGCACAAAAGATTGCAAAGTGGGGCAAAACTCACTTAACGACATAAATGTCGGGCAACTGTGGTCGTACGTGGAGGACTGCCTGTAGAAGGAAGCCGTTGCACGCCTTGGTAGGCGGCATCCCCCAGCTAGTCGAAGGGGGATTGTGGGAAGTAAAGGCCAGGGAATGCGAAGGCTGGCTTTGCAAAGGGGGAGGCAGGGAAGGGCCCCCGATGGACCCCCATCTCTCTTCATGGCCGCTCTGGGGCTCTTTCAGATCCTGAGGAACTTCAAGATTGACACCGTCTCCAAGGAGGACATCCGGACCATCTACAGCTTCATTCTGAAGCCGGAGAAACCCCCTCGACTCACCTTCCGCCCCATTGACTAGGGGCCCCTCCCCATGTGGGCTTGTCCTGCTCACCAGCTCTGGCCTGCATTCTGCAGAGGGTGAGGGGGGAGAAGGGACGGGCCCCGTTCTCAAAGACCAGGAAGCCCCCCCCCCCCGTTTGCCCAGCTTCCTCCTGACAGCAAACCACACTCCTTACTAGCACTGATGACGTTACCTAGATGGGTCATGAAACATCTGCAAGGAAACAACCCAGCTCAGAGAGCACCCAGGACCCCACAGTCCTTTCCTCCTCCTCCTCCTCCTCCTCTTCCTCCTCCTCCTCTCCCCAAACCCCACTCCTTTCTAGCACTGATGATATTCCCTAGTTGGGTCATGAAATGTCTGCAAGAAAACCGCCCAGCTCAGAGGGCACCCAGAATCCCACAGTTGTTGCTGTTGCTGTTGCTGTTGCTGCTGCTGCTGTTGTTGTTGTTGTTGTTGTTGTTGTTGTTGTTGTTGTTGTTGTTGTTCTTCTTCTTCTTCTTCTTCTTCTTCTTCTTCTTCTTCTTCTTCTTCTTCTTCTTCTTCTTCTTCTTCTTCTTCTTCTTCTTCTCCTTCTCCTCCTCCTCCTCCTCCTCCTCCTCCTCTCCATGAACCCCACTCCCTTCTAGCACTGATGATGTTACCTAGATGGGTCATGAAACATCTGCAAGGAAACAACCCAGCTCAAAGAGCACGGGGGACCCCTCATTTCAACCCTGAGTTACAGAGATTCTCCTTCAATGGTTCAGCTTCCTCCCCCAGTTCCTCCGTTCTCTCCCCCCTCCAGCAGCTGGGGGCTTTTCTGGTGTGGGGCAGGAAAATGAGCCCCTCTTCCTTTGCAATTACTGAAGGGCCAGTGGTGGGATTCAGCCGGTTTGCACCACTTCGGCAGAACCGGTAGCTAATTTCTTGTGGCCCAGGCCCTGAACGGACTTCCGGAAGCGGCATCCACACAGAGAGAACCCCTTGTTCACCTATTTGAATCCCACCCCTGCTGAGGGTGTGTGTGTGCAGAAGAGGGAGGGGGGGCTTCCTGCAAAACATCAAAGCAGCATCCAATTCTCCCTGTGAGGGAGAAGGGTGGTTTCTAAATGAGATAAATGAATAAATAAATCTTCTCCCCACTTTTTAATTTTACTTTTCCGAGTTTTTCTTCTTCTCTCGGTTGATGTATGCAGGGCTGTCCCAAAGGATCAAATGACGCTCTGTTGGGAATCGAGCAAAAATAAATATATGGGGGGAGGCGATGTCCAGCGGTTTACGGCCTTCTATCAGGTGCAACCCCAGAGGGGTCGAGGCCCACACGCCCCCGACCCCAGGGACTCCAGTTGTAACATCCTGGGGTCACGCGATCCTCTTTTGGGGACCTCCTGACAAGCAGATTCAATGGAGAAGCCAGATTCGCTTAACAACGGTGTTACTCATTTAACAACGGCAGCGATTCGCTTAACAAGTGTGACCAAGAAAGGCCGTAAAATGGGGCAAAATTCACTTAACGACCGTCTCGCTTAGCAACATAAATTTTGTGGCCAATGATGGCCGTAAAGTCGAGGACTGCCTGTACCTTATTCCCAAACCTCCTTGGGAGTGGGCTGCGCTCAGTTCAGAGATGCCCTGCAGCCAGATGGGTGGCAAACAAACTTTATTAAAGAAGTAAATAATATAAATATAAATATAAAATATGGATACAGGTAGAGGTTCCCCTTGCAAGACGGGCTCTCGAGGGCTCCCGCTCGGTCGAAAGGCAAGGAGTTGCTCCTGATCGCAAACACAACGGATCCCGTTGGGAAAGTGACTGCAAACGGCAAGCAGGAAGTGGCTGAGAAGGGAAGAAGCCCTTTGACCCCCTTCACCCCCCCTTCCCCTTTCGGCCTGCCTCTCATCTGGGCCTTCGGACCCCCCTCCCCGGCCCTCCCTCTCCACACAAGAGATTAAAAAGTCAAGCAAACTAAAAAAATATAAACGAATAGAACAATTAGAAAAAGTAGACAAGAAAAAAATAGAAAAGAACATAGAACATTGGTCATATCTTGGTTAGTCTAGCCAACCTGGGCTCTTTTATGACTCGTGGACTTCAACTCCCAGAATTCCTGAGCCAGCCACGCTGAGGGGAAAGGGAGAGGTTTCCAAGCTGAGCCATGGCTGGCTGAGGAATTCTGGGAGTTGAAGTCCACAAGTCATAAAAGAGCCGAGGCTGCCTACCCCTGGTCTAGGACTACCTGTATAGGCCAGGAAATAGCAGTATAATTCCCTCAGATCGACATCACTCCCATTGCAGTGGTGGACGCCAAAATTAATTCCTAAAAACATTAAAAGTTACTCGTGTTATTTTAGTCTTCTCACTTGAAATCAAGTCAGATCTTAGACCAGGATTTAAAAAACAAATCTCAGAATAGGTTTCTGCATAGATATAGTATAGACCAGGGGTAGGCAACCTTGGCCCCTTCATGACTCGTGGACTTCAACTCCCAGAATTCCTGAGCCAGCCATGCTGAGGGGAAAGGGAGAGGTTCCCATGCTGAGCCAGGCTGGTTCAGGAATTCTGGGAGTTGAAGTCCACGAGTCATGAGGGGGCCAAAGTTTCCCTCATGCTGGCTCAGGAATTCTGGGAGTTGAAGTCCACCAGTCATAAAAGAGCCGAGGTTGCCTACCCCTGGTCTATCCCCAGGGCAATGTGGGATGGACAAGGAAGAAGTTTAAAAAAAAATTATTTGGGAAATTTGTATGTCTGCCCACTCACTTTCAGTGATTCTGGGCGGCTTACAAAGAATAAAAACCCAATATACAAAGAATAAAAAGGAATAACACCTCCCCATCCCCCTGGCGACAACATACACTCATACCAGCCGCTTGATGGGCCCCCTCCCACCACTCTGGGTCCCCCAGGCCCGCTGGCAGAACCAGGTCTTGGGGGGCTTGCAAAAGAGAGTCAAAATGGTGGCCAGTCTAATCTCTGCGGGGATGAGGGAGGGAAGGAGCCACCACAGAGGAGGCCCTTCTTTTGGGTCCCGCCAGATGGGCCTCCTTAGGGGACAGGACCCACGACACTCCCTGCCTCCTCCACTCTGGTGGGTCGGGCAGATGCAACCAGGGAGAGACGGCCAAGACATAAGGGAAAGAAGGAGAAAATAAAGTGTTCAAACCCGGCAGGCTAGATTGTCAGGCTTCTCCCAACCCCAAAATTGGCTGGGGAATTCTGGGAGTTGAAGTCCACAAGTCGTACAGTTCCCAAGGCCGGACAGCCCTGGTTTAGAGTCTCCTGCTTGAATAGGGGTTGGAGTAGAAGACCTCCGAGGTCCCTTCCGGCCCTGTGACTTTATGATTCTCGTCCCCTCTCCCCTCCAAGACCTGCGTAGCTTTTTGAGAACAGCCAGCTCATCCGACATCTTCCCAAGATCAGGAGAACCTTCGGAGAAACGGGTCTCTCCTTTGACAATGCTGGTTTCTTGACCAGAGGGACGCAAGGGGTTTATTTTGGAGACCCAGGAAATGGAGCACAAGCTGAGGAGGGGCTGGCCGGGGTGATTCGGCCCACTCCCACTTGACACATGCCAGCTGCGGGTGATGCAAAAACAGCCTGAAGTTTGGTAACGTCCGTTCTTCCACATTTGTCACCACAAGGGAATTTGCTCCGTCAGCTTTCAACCGTGAAGAATTTCTGGGGGAAGGGAAAGTAACCTTAGACACAAGTCAAGAGTCCTTTTCCGGTTTATTACCCGCCCCAAAGGCTGCAGAGCTGCCAAACCCAGGGGCACGGCCTTCCCCGAAGGCCCCGCCACCGAGGGGGCAGGCTGCAGGTCAGGGCATGTGCAAGCCGCACAACCCGTGTGCTCCCTGGCCGCAAGCAGGCCCCAGGCCGTGTCCAGAAGGCGGCGGATGAGTGCTGAGATCTGGCAGCCTGCAGGAAACACAGCAGAGACACAGCCACAGCAGCGCCCTGGGGTGGGAGGCAAAGAGGGAAGCAGCGGGAAGGCTCCGGGTAACAAGAGGCTGGCTGCAAGCGCAGCGGGTTCAGCAGGAACCAAAGGACGAGGTGCCTGGCAGGATGTGTTGCAAAAGTGTCCCCCCCCCTCCCCGATTGTGTAAAATCCTTCTGGGTCAGACAGGACTCAGATCTGGGGAAGGGAGACTTTTAAGAGGGAAGGGGCAGGCCTCAGATGGCAGCCAGCTCACCAGGGAGAATCAAACAATTCAATTTAATTATTTAAAATAGTTTTAAAAATTATTTCAATTTCTGCCGTCCACGTTTTATTTTGCCCCTCCTTTGGCATCCTCTAATGCAGTGTTTCTCAACCTTGACAATTTTAAGGCATGTGGACTTCAACTCCCAGAATTCCACAGCCAGCATTGCTGGCTGTGGAATTCTGGGAGTTGAAGTCCACATGCCTTAAAATTGTCAAGGTTGAGAAACACTGCTCTAATGATTCCATTCGACTTTCTTTGTAACTCTTCTCCCGTGGCCAGTTGGCCATGGCGAGTTGTCGTAGACCCCTAAGGAGGCAGCCCACTACTCTGCATTAGCAGTTTACTCTCCTGGCTAATGTAACGTCGCCAAATGCTGAATAATAATAATAATAATCCAGGCCTAAGAATATCCAGCAATGGGTTCCAATCTCTGCCTTCTGGTCTCATGGATGACGGGTTTAGGACAGCTCGCCTCGGCCAACTTGTCGCGGCCATCTCACTGCCAACTGGCCACATGACAACCTCAGATGGCCAACTTGCTGTGGGCAGCCACTTTGCAGGGGAGGTGCGTGGCACAGAAATATAATGAATGAATACATTTTGGACAGCAGGGCAAAATGCTCCTGAGCAATAGCTGGCTGGGGAATTCTGGGACTTGAAGTCCACATTTCATCTTCAAGCTGCCAAGGTTGAGGAACGCCATCCCACAGCATGCACTGAGCGAGCTGAAGTACTGATTGTCAGCCCCACAACTGGGAGCCCATCCTGCCTCTCTAATTAAGGGGGCTTTTTAAGCTTACCATCCCTCTGTCCTCCCCCACCCCTTGAAGGAG